AGATTTTTAAGGTTTTGTATTTTAAGGTTTTGAAATTTTGGGTTTTGGTTTTAATTTTTTGAATTTTTAAAACGCTAACATCTCTAAAAATCTCCAACATTTAGGCAGATTTTTTGAGCAAGTTTGATTTTTATGATTTTTGAAAATTAATTAAAATGTTTTATATATTTCTTTTCTTTTATGAAAACTTATTATTATTATTATTATTATTATTATTATTATTATTATTATTGTGATTATGCTTTTTTTAAAAAAATTTTATAATTCTCTAACATCTAGGCGAAATTATATTTTAAAATTTAAAGTTTTTATTCCCTCCAACATCTAGGTAGAGAAAATAAAAAAAAATTATTTTATTCTTATTATCATTTTTAGATTATTATTACTTTTTTTAAGCATTTTTAGTTTTTTTTTTAGTTATTATCCAACTTTGTTTTCATATTGTTATTATTAAAAACAATCAAATATTTATTCTAACAAATTTAAAAATTTATTATGCATAAATATTTTAAAAAATAAAACTCAAAATAACAAAAATAATAAAAAAATTGGAAAATTAAAAAAAATTTTAAAAAAATATCTAAACCGAACTGGTCAATGATTCAGTCAATACCGATCTAGGTTGGTCTGATTGGTTTGATGGTTCCACAGTTTAGACTGAGTTTTTGATGATTCAATACCAGTTCAACTGGATCGATCTTAGCTAAGGCAAAAGCGGGTCACGGTTCAGGTTGCGTGGACTTTGGGTCAAGTCAGGACCAACACGCAGATCCTTCTGTGCTCCAAAATGGTGTTGTTTTGCTTCTTCTTAAATGGCATCTTTTTTCTTTTTAATTTTTCTTATAAAACCCTAAAAAAAAATTTTAGGTTTATTTTTCAAAACTCTTTCTCTCTCTAAGAGAGAGAGCTTTTCTCTTTAAAATAAGGAAGGGCTTTCTGACTAATCACCACTGGCAATATCAGCTGCCGACTGTTTCATCATCGGCGCACGTCAACGGTTGGTTCGATCGCTAAAAATTTTCAAAATTTGCTAGAAAGCTTGCCCTAGCCTTTTGAACTTCGATCTGGCTTCCTTTGCACCTGGAACAACCCCGATCGACGTAGATCGTGGTTTGAAGTTTTTTGTCTCTTTTTTTTTTTATAAACTACAACTCACATTTTTTTTTCAAATAGGCTTTTGGCACTGGGTTTTTTGCCGAATCGGCAAGGATTGTGTTTGTTTTTTTTTTGTGGATTTTTGGTATGTTTCTTTTTATGGTTCGTTTGCTATAGGAGGGTAGGTTTAAAAGGTAAAAAGACTTGGTGCAAGAATATTATGATGAAGGTGGCTGTGTGAGGGGCTAACATAAGAGGAATGGCTAGGGTTTTGGGGTCTGGCCGAGGGGGAAAGCTTAGTCTCTGGGTATGAAGTGCAAGGTGCTAGGATGAAAAGGATAAATGCTTTGGGAAAGCTGACTAGTGGGAGAGGTCTAATGCTGAGGAAAAAGCCCCATGCCTTTGAAAGGTCTGGTGCCTTTATGGTGTTGGCCTTCTGGGAGAATGGGTGGCTAAGGATGGTACTGGCAGGGGATTGAGTGATTTGGGGCATGGTGCTGGCAGGGATAAGTGCTGAGAGACTGGTAGGGAATGAATAATTGGGCAAGTGGTTCAAGGTGGGTGGCTAGTGGTGCCGTGCAAGGCACTGCTAACACCTTTGTCTCTTTTTTTTACTATATTTTTATTTTTTTTGTTTTTTATTAATTATTAATTATTATATTTAATTATTAATTAATTTCAATATTAATAAATAGAATTTGAAAACAAAATTTAATCTAACAGACCCGAATAATATTTAGTGTCTACATTATCCACTATGACTAGTATGCAATTAAATTTTTGTGACGGAGAAAGTCTTTTAACAAAATCCATGGTTACCACCTCATAGGCTTGAGTGGGAATAGGAATAGGATGTAGCAGTCCTCGATGAGCTACATGTTCATCCTTTTTTTTCTAGCATGTATCACACTGTAAAACATAACCTTAAACCTGTTTTTTCATCTTTAGCTAATAAAAATGAAGCTTTAACCTATAATAGGTGGCCTGAACAACAGAATGACCCCTTAGGGTGAATCATACATTGCTTGCAAAATCTTCTCCTTTAGCAGCCCATAGTTTCCCACCTAGACTCTTCCTTTAAACCACAACACTCCATTGTGAAAAATGTATTTCGATTGAGTAGTGGGGTTGTACAACTAATGCTTGAATCTGTTCATCACCCAGGCATCATTAGTATAACTTTGTTCTATTTTCTTCACCCATTCTAGCATGATGATAGTTGAATGCAAGCTATAACTTTGTCCTTCTTCCTCATGACTGGCTAAAAAATCACTACTTTTTTTTAGTGTCACTTCCTGTCTATCCTTTTGAAAAGTGACTGACATTGTATTGAAGTCAAATACCAGGGGATTAAACTTCTTCATCTTGTCAACCCCAATACCATGTCACTGTCCCCATAGGTAGAACTCTGAGGTCTTGGTTGAATTTATGGCCTTGTATCACTCATTCAAGCTATTTATATTTGGCAATACTATATTGCTTCTCACCATTAGTTACTATTATAGTTAAAGGATGAGTATACAACAATTCAACTCCATCCTTAGCCTACCCTAGTGTTACAAAACTGTGGTACTACCATTGTCAAAGAGGACGTTAAGTGGTTTGCCCTTGAGACTGCCTTGAATCCTAAGACTATGCCATACTGCTATTCAAAGCATTAATATATATCTCAAGGTTGTCTTACTTCTATCTTCACCAACTTCTTCCATTGTAAGAGAACTAAGTTGTTTGTTCTTACAAAAATGTCATGGAAAAAACTTCTCTCCACACCTGTAACATAGGTTTTGACACAAAATTTCAAATCTTACCAAAGTATCATTTAGCCTTACTTTGACACAATTTTAATAGCTGTGTTATTATATTCAGGAGCGCTTTTATAGTGAAGTCCATTCTCTTATAAGCGGTATCACTTCCACTTATATAAGTGAACTCCATCAAAAATGCAACTACATAAGGATTTCAACTTTAAATTATCATGTTATGGATTCATTAAGAGTTAATTCTCAACCTTAACACATATGGTTCAGATACTTATCTATCTTGAGATGGTTTATAACTTAAAATACTTGGCACATGTAAATGATATACTTTACTCATTAAAATTCAAGACTCAATGTGCAGTCAAGTGTTGAGTTAAGGTTCCATCATATGACTTAATTTATAGACTTGAGTCCAATCTCTATGGAAGTTTTAGGCACTATATCTCTTGTGAGACTTTTTGTCAATGCATTAACCAAATTTTCACTCAACTTGACAAAATCAATGGTGATTCACCATCTTTTATGAGTTATCTAGTATAGTTATGTCTTAGATGTATGTATCTTGACTTCCCATTATATATTTAACTATATGCTTTTGCAAGTGTAGCTTGATTATCATAGTGGACAGAAATTGGTGACATTAGTTTTAGCCATAAAAAAATTTCTAATAGTAAATTTCTTAGTTATTATGCTTCCTTGCAAGATGAAATTAATGCCACAAATTCAAAGGTCAAAGTAAAATCAATTATAAAAGTTTGTTTCTTAGAATCCCAAGAAACTGCACCCTACCAATTACAAAAATCTATCCACTTGCGAATGAATGATCCTCTGTACTAGTTATCAAACTTAAGTCAATATATCCTTCTAAAATCGAAGGTTCACCACAATAGCAAATGACTTAATTCATAATCTTTTTCAAGTATTTAAAGACTCTTGTAATAGTATTCTAATACAAATTACTTGGGTTGCTTATTTATTTACTAAGCTTACTAAAGGCATAGGCTATATCTCATCTTATTCATATCATTGCATGCATCAAACAATCAATAATCTTTGCGTATTCAAATTGTGTAACCAACATTCATTTATTTGGAGTTAACTTCAAATTACGATGAAAGAGTATTGTGACTGTTGCACTATTAAAATAATTAAACTTTTTGAGAATTTTTTCAATGTAACATAATTGTTGCAACACTAATATCCTACTAACGCATACCCAAAACGCCATCAACAAAATACATTAATTAAAATATAAAAATGCATTACTACTATACTAATTTTGCAAACTTTTGATAATTTTGTCTAATTAAATTATGCTTCAACAAGTTCAGAAGCATTAATGTAGGGAGAAAAAAAACCTGTAAAACTTGCTTGAAATCAAATGTTAAAAGATGACGAGAACTACCAAAAATGTTGGATTTTTTATAATAAAAATTTTAAATTTTATATAATATCAGTGAATTATTTAATGATATTTTAATAAAAAATTAATTTTAAATATATTTTTTGAATTACATGAATTTACTTTTGTAATTTTAAAAATCTAAAATTAATTTTTTTAATAAGATATCATTGGGCTAAATAGTAAAAATTACACCCATATAAATCCTCAACTTTTAATTTATATTTAAATAAGCACATAACTTTTAAAATAAACATTTAACTTTTAATTTGTATCCAAATAAGCTCTTAACTTTTAATTTATGCTTAAATAGGATCTTAACATATACATAATACATATAAAACATCAATTTTTCATGATCACATTAACTTTTAATTTATGCTTAAATAAGATCTTAACATATACATAATACATATAAAACATCAATTTTTCACGATCACAAATACTTTAAATAAAACTTTAAATTATATAAATGGTCACATTTTACATGATTAAAAAGAATTAGAAAAAAATTATGGTAATTTGAAATAAAAATTTATTTGAATATAAATAAAAATATAAAATCTTATTTAAATACAATAAAAATATAATAATTTATCTAAATAAAATGATAAAATTCAAATTTTCTTTTAATATTTTAGCTACGAGTCACACAAACATTTGGATTTGCAACGACTTATTTAGACATTCCTCATTTCTAAACATACCATGGCAATTAGCAAATAGAAGTATGGCCAAGAAAGTTAACCAGGTAGAAAACGTAATGAAACTTAAATTTTCTCAAACTTCAGTTCTTGAAAATACAGACTTGAGTTTATTTCTCAACTGGAATCATTTCCTCCAAACAAAGATAGCCCAGATGATTCGTGGAATATTTGATTCAGTATACAAACAAATTTTATTTGCTTCTATGCTATAAGCACACACAAGATTAAAAAAACAACAATTTCATATCATCTGGTCTATGAGACAGGGAAACTACTTAGACTCCGGTTTTCCGTTGTCGGCTGCCGCTTTCTCGCCGCAATCATTGAACAATGCTGATAATCTTGATGCCAAGCTTTGCTTTGCTACAGGTGAAACTCCGTTCTTGCCAACAATGGACTCTAGCACTGAATTTGCAAGTAGTTTATTCTCTATCACTGCTGTCCCAACTTCTGGCACAGAACCATCTTTGGAAAAGCCAATCTGTTGTTTTGAGACATCGAAATATTAGCCAAGCTAGGTTCTTTGTAGAAGGTTTACTAATATGTTGCTGCTACTATCCGACACTATATCCAACGGATATAGATGTAGACTATAGAGGTTGACCCTTTAAATATAGGGGAAAACATGGAAACAAAATCGAAGATACCCGTATCAGAAACATACCTATAATTGACACTCACACCTGAGTCTGAATAACATAGCTTACTGAAATATAGGGAAAAACATGGAAAAAAAAATTGAAGATACCCATATCGGAAACATACCTATAATTGACACTCAAACCCGAGTCTGAATAACATAGCTTACTTTTATAGCACTAAAATAACAATCTTTGCTAAACATAACTAATGAAGTATATGGCACTCTGACATAAAATAATTAGAACTAGAATCTTTTGGCAATTCACTTTTTTTTTTCTCTCAGTGAATCAGTCATGCTTTCCTAATAAAGCAAAACTAATGATTGTTTAATCATTCCAAAGGGTTTTGGCACTTACTGTTAGTGAACCTTGGGCTGATAGTGTGAAAAGAATGGAAGAGCCAGGTGGGAAGTTATCATCCTTGAAAACCTCAATGAACTTTTCAATGGCTTTTGCTTCTGCATCAGTGTAAAGTCCAAGAGATTTCCAGATGGCAACACAATTCTCTGCTACCTTCTCAGAATATTGCTGACCCGTTAACGGCAAGATCATTGTCACTCGTATGAACTTTTCAAAGGCACCTACAAATACGTATCAAAATTAATACAACTACTCATCCAAGATATCTTTTACTGTTGGGGCATCGAAGCAGCAAATATGCTAAAAATCACAAGCCTTATACTTAACAACTCCGGACAATCCTCTCATATCAAGTGAACCACTAGAGAAAAAATTACTCATCAAAACTTAGATGCAACAGAAGGACGTTGATTTGTATTTGAAAAAAGCCAGTCCGTGCAAAAATTAGGTTCACAAAAATATGCTTGAAATCATAATGTCACTCCTTATGCATGAATATATATTATAATTATATACTAATATAAAATTGACCTAAAGTCGACAAGGATTAGGTTAACTTAAGAAGAAAAAAATCAACTATCTTAATCAAATTATTTGAAATCTATGATAACTCGAAAAAGAAAAAAAAAAAAAAAAAAAAACTCAGACCAAAATGATGTTAATTTGAAATAATCTCTGCTCCCTGCTGTTAACTTTGTCTCTTTCCTTCTATTAAAACATTTATTGACTTGACCATTAAAATGTGTCTCAGAGAAGTATGACAGATTTGACAAACTATCTAGCTTAACCCCAACCAGCTCTTCTTATATTGGACTAGGAATTAGATCAACAAATTACAATTTTCTTCTCTTAAATATCATCTTAAAACAATGTTACTGGTAACAATTTTCAATTAGTTAAAAAAATATTTATTTAAGTTACACTCGTAACCAATAATTACATTCATATAATCAACTATTACATGAGTAATCAACTAATGAACTATAACTTAATTAAACAACCAAACCCGCACAAAGTGAGATTTGAACTTGGATCCTTAAGGTTCTAGGACCTTTTTCTTGACACTAATCCAAGACCTCATTGGTAATTATTTAAAAATATTAAATGCAATATCGAGTATAGACGTTATTAAACGAAATTATCATCGTGACCAAATGATTGTAAAATGACCATAATACCCCCATGATCAAATAAAATCTCGACTTATTATATCATAAATAATTATTGTAAATTTCTCATCCCAGTTTCCTTATTCAAAACTTTCTCTTTAACTTTGTCCATCAAACACAAAAAATAAATAAATAAATAAAGAGGAACTAAAAAAATTACTAGTAGAATTTACCTGTAACGATGTCTCTGAAAAACTCAACGGATTCCGTTAGCTCGTCGGCACTCTTATCCTTCCACTTAACGGCAAGGCACTCCACGGCGTTATATTCCAAGTAAACTCCTATCGTCGTGAACTTGATGAATTTTCCTTGGATTTCCAATCCTCTCTCCCCTGGCGCACATTAACACTAACCCGTCAACAAAAAAAAAAAAAAAAACTTAAAAGATAACCAAAACCAAAGCGATCGAAAGGCGAAGGTGCGTAGATTACTAACCTGCACCACCGAGGAACAGAGTTTTGGTGGAACCCGGGGGCTTGATCGTTGGAGGGAATGTAACGTTCTCCACCTGGATTTCGGTGACGGACGGTGACGTAGACATTTTCTGACAGATCAACTCTTTCTTTTTCTTCAGGGAAGGCAAAGGGAAAGGAAGTGAAACGGTGAGTTTTATAGCGGGGTGGAAGCGATGTGGTAGGTGTGTAATTAAGGGGACGAGGAAGGGTGGGTAGAGGGACTGAGGATGGTAGCTATAGTCACGTGAGTTTGAGATATCACGTGCAAGGTATACCACTGGCCATTTTGGAAGAGGAATTTTAGGTGTAACTAAAAAACCTAGTCAATTGAGAACAAAAAATTCTAGTCAATTACAGCCTTTTTTTATTCTTTTGTATTTTTTTTTCATGAAAAGAACTTCAAATTAAAAAAAAAAAAAGGAGTATTGTATGTTCTTAACGGATAAAATTAAGATTCCATTTTAAAAATTAAATTTAAATTTTGAATGAACATAATATAATGTAACATTTTCATTTTTATATTAAAAAAATTGTGAAAATTTGTTATAATATATATATATATAGAGAGAGAGAGAGAGGGGAGAAGTAAAACTATACTTGCAAAATGTTTTTTTTTAATTAAATCCTGAAAATAGCTTTCATTTTTTTTGTTAGAATTTTTATATAAGAGTTATAAAATGAAAGAGAATTAGCTTTGATTATGTAGCTGAATATTTTATTTATAATTAGGAAATGACATAAAATGTTAATGAGTGATTATTGTAATTTAAGTCCAGGCAATGACTGTTGAGATTGAATGGACCTTAACCATTGATTAAAAATATCTTGTTGATTTGTAGTACCCAATTTGATAATTAGTTGTCTATACCCATTTTGCAAATCAAATCATCGTTTCTAAGCGAAAAATAAAATCTAAGATTAAAAATTATAGTCTAGCATAATTTTTTTTTATTTTTCATATAGTTAATTTCAAATTATAAGATATAAAACTTAATTTATTATTATCATTATTTAAAGATAAAATCTTAGAAATTTTAAGTTTTAATTCTAATTTTTTCAAAAGTTAAGAACAATATAGATAAAATAAATTTTTAAATGACAAAAGTCAGTAGTTGGTACATAAAAGAAGCTAAAACTCTAAAACTCTAGAAAAAATTTCTCAACAACTAAATTTTTTTTCAATAAGTTATTATATGTGTTATTTATAAATTTATATTTAATGTATTATCATATTTTACATATTATTAATGAGTAAAAAAGTACTGCTCCATTGACTTTTAAAATGAATATCATAAAGTTTTATAATGACATCTCCTAAATTATGGGTACCTACTTTCATTGACTTTTAAATTTGATAAAATGGTAATCATTCCCTGATGACTTAAAGTGTATATATATAGATAGTTCATCATATATAAACTCCTTATTAGTGCAACAGATCATCAAATATAAATGAAATATTATATGAATTTATATTTGATGTATTATCAATATAAAATTTTATATATTTTTAATAAATTAAATAATATTAATAAAATAATTAAGATAATATTATTTAATTTATTGATAATTTATAAAATTGATAATATATTGAATATAAGCTCTTATTATATATATATATATATATATATATTCAACTCTTGTAAGGAATCTTCAGATTAGGTATGCCATATATGTTATCATTAGAAAAGAAAAAAAAAATGCTATGTGTTATTTTCAATATTTTGTAATCCATCAATTTTTTTAAAGGGTAATCCTTTCTTTAATACATAAAGAAATAACTAGGATAAATATGATTTAGTTCATATACAATTATTTTAATATTGACATTATCTTTTGCTTTTCAAATTTTAAAATTTTAGTTTAATCATTAATAATATTAATTTTTTATCATTAAATACATTAATATATATATATATTGATTCGTTGATACGATATTAATTTTATGTGACAATATCAAGATTATTTGTACTTGGCAATTGATGACCTGAAATTTTTATTTGCCACGTGACCAAAAGTTTTTTAATTAATACATATATTTATATTTGTATTTATAAAAAAAATTAAAGTATTTGAATTCTTAATTTTTAAAAAAAAAATTAAAAAAAAAAAAACAATGGGTCATGACAAATAAACCAAAATAATTAATGACATGAGCTCAATACACGTAATAGATTCACACCGCTATCATTGTATCGTATGAATGGCCAAGATTGTGTATCCAAAATCCAAGGGCCTGCCATTGTTCTTCTAACGAGCATCGTCTGTTAACTCCTCCTGGTAGATTCAGTGTCTCTAACATCTGATTTTTTGCATTTCCCTTATTTCTTTTTGTTTCTTTTTTTTTTTTTACAGCGAAAATGGTTTTTTTTTTTTTTTAATAGAAGCCATGATTTTAGGTTTAGATCTACGAATCTCAGTTTGGGCTCAGAAAGTAGACCAATTCTATGACTAAGTTGGTTTAAAGTCATTAACAGCCCAATTTTATAACCAATATTTTTTGATTTAGAAACAATTTTTAAAAATTTATTTTTGTACAAAAAAAGCACGGAATAAAGAATATTTAAATTTAAATTTATTAAATATTATTTTTAAAAATAATTATATGAATTAAAATTAGATTCTATATTTTATTTTTTTAATGTAGAATTATGCATCAATAAACTCAAAACTCGAGTTTTTTTTATTATTATTTTTATTTTGTGATTGAGAAAATGTTTTTTTTTTTCAAAATTGCAATTCAGTATTACTTCAAGAATTCTAGTAAACTTATTAATATGCCAAAATTTAAATCAATACAACAAGTGCCTTTTGATAGGAAAAAATTAAAAAAAATACTAAATGAAATGAAAGAATGAAAATTATAAAATAGTCGACATTGTATCTTGATCAATTATGATTATTTAAAAAATATGGTTGGCCTCAACTTGACAAAATTTGCTTTGGAGCTTTTGTTTTCTTTTCAAAAACTCATAATAAAATTAAATTATGGAGTAAATTTATTATTTTGAATTTTTGATTATTTTTAAAAGATAAAATAAAAAATAAAAAAATCTAAGGGACTTTTATGAAGACGGAAAAGACTCGTAGGTTGGGGTCCAAATACGATCACCCTAAAAAGTCCAAATCCAAAGTTCAAACTTTGTTTCCATCTCCATCTTCATCATCCGAACAAAAATTTTTTTCCCCATTTCTCCCTCTTGTTGAAAACCTAAACCCTAAAAATTCTTCAAAAGAGAAGAAAAGGACGAAAATTAATTAGACCGAATTGCATTGGTCTATCGGAGCGGTGAGATAAGAAAAGAAACGACATGTCGTGGCTGAGAACGGCGGTGAACAAAGCGGTGGAGGTTGGAAACAAGAATAACCTCACTCGAAACATCAAGAACTATGCCGATACCGTTGTTCACCATGCTGGTCAAGCTGTTGCTGAAGGAGCCAAACTCTTTCAAGATCACATTGTAATTTCTTTCCTTTTTTTTTCATTTTTTATTTGCATGTTGGGGTATATATGTTGTAATTTCTGGCTGAATATAATAGTTTGAAAGGTTTACACGTTGATTTTTTTTTTTAATTTGGAATGTCGGAGTAATTTTTTAAGAAATTTTTTTTTTATATTTAAATTGCACAATTATTAGTTTTTAGTGTTTTTATTTTGGTTTTCAATTGCTTGTGTATTTTGGTTGTTCAATGAAATATATGTAATAATGTAAAAAAAGTTTTTTTTTTTTCAACATCAAGAAAATAGGATTAAAATTGGATTATAATTTCACAAAGGTGTCTCTTTGACCGAATGAATTATTTTTCTATGCACATATTAGTGTATTTTTTTGTGTAAATTAATTAGATTTCGTAATTTCTCTTTCAAGTAATGGTGCTAGGAAGAGAAAATTTTGATCTAATGTGGAATGTGACATGTAAACTAGTAATAGTTTAGAGCTTTATGATCTAGATTTTGTTTACTTGATTTTGTACTACTAGATTTGTTCTGTTTACCTATAGAAATTGTTTTTCCTGTTGTGGGTATCTTATACTATTGTTATTGGAGTTGCTTAAGTTGTGTACTTATGCAGGGGTCTCGGAGTCTCAGGAGTGTAAAGCAAACTGTGAAAAGATTGGAGGAAGCAGTAATCTCCTGTAGGGGTTCTGAGAGAGTTATGCTGCTGAGAAGATGGTTGGTTGCACTCCAAGAAATTGAGCAGTTATCCGGAGGTTCATCAGAAGGGGGTCAAAAGAGCCTTGAGCAAATTTTTGCTTATGAAGAAGCAAAGGAGAACCTAAAAAGGCCATCTATGGTAAGCTATTCCTGCATGTTAATGATAACCAAATTGTATGCAGTGACTTATGTGTTGCTTATTCATGCCTTGCTTTACTTATTGAGTTGTTTAATATCTGCTCAACAAGAGGATAAGGTAGGTCCATTTCGAAGTAGTCTGCTATCAAATTATATATTATGTTTGTTGCTTGAGTTCTGTTAAACAATTATAGCATACCTTATCGTGATTCCAGTTATTTTCCTTTTAAGTGTATTACATCAGTTGGATTTTGAAACTATTGCTGTTGGTCGATCATTGTGTGCCTGAAATAAGTTCATGTGTTAAAAATCTATTATATTTCATATAAGTTTCTTGTATCCTGACTTTCTCTTTTGGTTCTTTTTAATGATCGATAGGTCTTATATTATGACTCCGATATTGGGGGTGCACCGATGAATTTTCGAGAGGTTTTTCTTCAAAGCCAGGCTTTGGAGGGCATAACAATATCTATGGTATAATTTGGTTTCTTGTCATTGTTCAATATTCTTTTTAATCAGATTTGTCAAAATAGTGTAGAATCTTGAATATATCATATACCCTTGTAAACATTTATTGCCATTTTTCACTAGTGTAGCTTTTGACTAATTTTGTAGACGATTAGGCATTAGATAAAGGCTTAGAAAAGTCAACATTTCAGGTGTGATCATTCTGGATCTAAATCTTGCCCTGAAAAATGATAAAAGAAACATTCAAGGTAGATTATTTGAATAAAGAAAAATAGAAATTAACACTATCATGAACCTGATGCAGTTTTTTACATTGTCTATTGATAACTGTTGAATAATGATTTTCTGAACAAAAGCAAATGAATGTCTAGTTTTTGTTCTTCATAAACCTGGGTTATAATGGCTTTATTGGAAATTGTCCTTGGTCTCGAGTGCTATGCAAGAAGTTGAACATTACTCCATTTTGTCTGAGATCATTGAGTTCTTATCAAGCTCGGTAAATTATAAGGCTGCTTCAAGGCCTTTTATGCCTTATGCTAACAAAACAATATAGTTTTGACTAAATAAAATGGGTTAGTGACAATGAGGAGATAAAAAAATGATACAAATAAGAAACTTTAGGACTCACGTTTAATGAACTAAATATGAAAGTATGTCATGGTTCCATTATTTATTTAAAGATCATTAGGTAGAAATTTTAGTGTCTGAATCATTTTCAAAGAAGATTATCAGCAAGTTCTGAGTTTCTTGTGTTTTGTATAATTTAAGTACATTTAAGTTATCTATAGATATGTTAACATTTCTGCTGGAGTATCATGGATGTCTTCATGTAAGCTTGATTTTCTGAAATTTTCATCTAATCATGGTCAGGGTTTGGAGATGTTTTTGTCATTATTAGCTAACTTTAATGAGTTAATGTTATGACAGAAAGAGATTATTGTTTCTAAAAAGTATGCAACTTGTCTATTGAACTTTTATGTTTTTGGAATATCTGATCATTGATATTAGCTCAGGTTAAATATTTTCTATGATTCAGATTATTGAAGCACCCAATGATGAAGAAATTTCTCTGCTACAGGAGATGTTTGGGTTAGTCCTCTCACTTTATGACTATTGCTTTATTATGGCCTGGAACACCAGCATTTAAGGTTTTCCAGATTTAATTAAGTTCATTCTCATTGAATATGTTGCAAAAGGATATTTTTTTTCCCACCCTCACAGATTTTACAATTGATTGCTTCTAAGTTCTAACATATTTGCACAATGATTGCAGTTTCTGCATCTTCTTGTAGGTTTTGTTTGGTTAAGTAAGACAAATAATGTATTATTATGAATAGTTAGCCTGAAACTTAAATTAAATTTGGAGATTTCTTTTAATTATATAATAATACATTCAGGCTCTGCCTCACTGGAGGAAAAGAAGTTCACAATGCAATAGTGAGTAGTATACAGGATCTAGCTACTGCTTTTTCTGGCTACCAAGATGAAGTGCTGGTAACTAGTCTAATCTATGGTACATTCACAATGCAATTTATTTGGGAAGATTCACTTTTAATTTCTTTCTTCTTTTTCTTCCCAATGTTGTCAAACATGGGTATATATAGGTGAAGCGGGAGGAACTGCTTCAATTTGCCCAAAGTTCGATAACAGGATTAAAAATCAGTGCTGATCTTGTAAGGTAGTTCAATTCCTGGCTTTCAGCCCTGTACATTTTCCTGTCTTGTTTCTATACTTTGGCTTTGAGTTCTCAACTAATTTTTGCGACAGTGCTGAAATCTTATGTTTTGTTAAATGGATTTTTCTTTCATAATTATAAATATAATTTATTTTCCTTATCTTAAAATGAGTTTTAACCTCTTCTAATTTCTAACTAAGATATTTCTGTTACGCATAAAATTTACGTTTAATCATAGCTGCACATGCCTAATTTGCATCTTTGTTATCATAAGCTACTTGTTCATCTTATTTTAAGAAAGTAGGAATGTGTTACTATCATGGTTTTTCGGTTCATATTGTTGTGCAGCCACCATGACTGCCATAAATTTTAGGATTTTGAAATGCAAAGTGCTTGATTGCTTACACTTATTCAAGCAGGAGAAATTAACCTTTCTTTTTATTTGATTTCCAATGACAGAATGGATATTGAAGCTTCTGATCTGAAGAAAAAACTCAATCAGATGAGTGCTTCCCAGAAGCTTCCACAAGAAGGTCATGATAATGCCTCTGAAAAGACTACTGAAGTGACTATTGAGGTGAGTGGTGAGCTTGATTTGAGTTATGGTAAAATTTGCTTCTGCTTTTTTTGGTAGTTTAGAAGCTCTTGACCCGTGATAAGTGGTATCAGAGCCAGCCCTAAACCGTTCGATCGACGCCAAGCACCTCGAGGGAGGTAGGCAGGGTGGCCAGCCTCCGTGACGAGGGCGTCACGAGGTTGGGTGTGGAAGAATGTCACGGACCTAAAGGGGAGTCCTGAATCCCACATCGAACATAATAGGAGGGTCACTGGGGTATAAAAGGGCTCACACCATCTCTGTCTTGTGAGGCGCCTTTTGTAGGACAAAACCGTGAGGCCAAGGGGCCAGAGCGGACAATACCTCACAAGGGTGTGAATCGTGGCGAAAGGCTGATCTGGGACGCCGGAAGGGTGAATGCCCGGGTCCCGGAGCCGCGCGGGTTCGGAGCTTAAGTCTCGACCCGTGACAAGGGTGTTGTATCTAGTCTAACATCCAAGAAAAAATTTCGGAATTCCTGTTAAGTTGTTAATCTAAGGCAAAAGAACCAAATTGATAGTATGACAGGTTCATTTTGCTTTTCTGTCTTACAATTCATGATGCTATTTATTTCCTTTTGCTTTGTGGGTGGTCATGTTTATAATCCTTTAAGAAGTCACAAATCAAATAAACCAATGTCACTGACAAAGCTGCACAAAAATGAAGTAGAAACACTGGGAGTTCTTATAGAAATAAAATGTTATTTGGTGTTCCTTTGCCACAAATGATATTTTTTTGGTGTTTCCAAAACTTTTCTTTTTACTCGTGTTTTGTCGATTTCTGTTGTTTCTGTCCTCATTCTTGTGGCATATCACTTTAATTTTGTGTTCCTGGGTGCATGGTGATATTCTTATTATTGTTTGAAACTAATTGCCTTTGCAAAAATGTCTTTATCCGGATGGCTTTTTATCTGATTAGCTCTCTCATTTTGGTGCATCTTGATAATTCATATATAGGAAACAATAAACCAGCTTAAGCTCATAGTCAAGCTAAGAAAATTTTGAAGGTCTGCCAAGTGCCATTACCTATAGAGTAAAATATAGCTTAAGTAGGTCAAGTTGGTACACTTGATGACTATCTAGCTCTTTGTGACATCTAATTAGCTGGGCTCTTGTCCACAGTTTGATATCAAGTTGACAAGGCATACTCCTCCCCAAAGAAAAATAAAAATATTATAATTTGCTGAAGCTACTCATGTTTTCAATTTGCAAGTTGATTTTCTATATCTAGTGATTTGTACCATAACTATGTTTCTCCTTAAACAGATGTTAAACTTCCCAATATTTTTTCTTCAGAAAGAAAATATGAAAGTTGACCACCCTATCTTTATGGTAGGCTCTGAAAGAAGCACTTGTAGAAATACGAATCTTTTCCACATTGGAAGGAATTTTGCTGAAAAAGAAGTCTCTAAACAATGGAGACTCTCCTGAGATTCATGCTCAAAAGGTATGAACTTTCTTGCTTCTTGGTTATGTTTGAATCAGAATGAATATGTATGTGCAACCTCCTTTTTCTTAAAGTTTGCTTTGTCTAATCTAAAATGTTTCATTTAGGATATATCATATATCCACCTTTTTGTAATATAAGCTTAAAGTTTAAAAGAAGGATGAGTGTCTGTTTTAGCTAATGCAGCATTTCTGGGGGGCTTTAGTGTGAAATTAGCTGCTTTATATTGTTTATTTGTGCAGGTTGATAAATTGAAGGTCTTATCAGAATCTCTTGCCAACTCCAGTGCGAAAGCCGAGAAACGCATTGCTGATCACAGGTATGCTAAGGATCTTTTAAAGTTACCCTGAATAATATTTGATTTTATCAATACTGTTAGTCTAGATAAAAGTTAACGGCTGCTTTTTTTATGTGATATATTGTTTTATATTAAAGGTGCAGTGTGAACCAGCTGATATATATATATATTTTTTTGACATTTTGGTATCTCATTAGTTTTTACAATAAGAAAAATTGCAGTCATTAATTTTTGGTTCTAAATTGTAAAATGCACTACGGCCTTTTTTAGGTGGCTTCTATTTAAATTTTTCTGAGAAAGTATGAATCATTGTTCTCAAAACATATTGGATTCTCTATCCGATGACCTTGAAGGATGTATGCTGAACTGTTTGGTGCGGTTTTATATTTCTTATGAGTCGTGTATGAATTTTTCCAAGAAAGTATGAAGCATTGCTCTGAAAACATGTTGGATTCTCTATCTGATGGCCTGAATTCATGGTTGCTTTCAAGGGTGTCTGCTGAACTGTTTGGTGTAGTTTTATATTTCTTATGACTTGTGTATGACCTTCAACCAAAATTTCCTTCTTGTTGATCTTATTTATCATTCATGATGAAAAGGTTAGCCTTGGGTTTCTGTGTTAATTGGCAAAGTTGTTTCAAGAGATCACATCTGGTCTCTGGTGATTTCTTGGGATGCTTGCCTGGAATATTTCTACTAGTACTTCAGAGAATATCTGGATTCTGGATGAAATCCTCAAAGACAGAACATTAAAGCATGATATAAAGCAATCTGAAGCCTCTTTATAACTGATTCTGAAGTTTATTAGAATTATCTAATATTTACTTGAAAAAAGTATTCGATGCATAAGAGCTGGTCATTGGTTTTATTATTGGCAGACTTCAGAAGGAGGAGGCCTTAACTGTTCGTGTGGCCAAAGCCAGTGAAGCTGATGGAAAAGAGAAGGTTGTTTACTTGTGCTGATGTGTTCTCTTTGTCTGCTAGATTAAAAAGGAAACGCTTAACATCTTGCAATTTTAGGTTAGGGCACAAGATTTGATTGCTAGAAGTTGTCTCTGGAGTCTGATAGCTAGATGTTTTATTACCATCTATAATCAAATGAATTGTCAAAATCGACTGGTTTAGTTACGTTTGCTGGGAAAGATTTTTGCAATACTTCCTACTCTTACATCTTCTATTCAGTGTCTTTAACTAGTTGATGAAATTGGCAGGTTTATATGGAACATATCAAATTATTTCCTGGCTGATTTCCTCTGAAACTGGCATATGAAGGAATAGTTCCATATTTTTAATGATTTCATGCATCATGGTAGTGCATAGCAATAATATAGTTTTGATTGGATGATGTCATATGCTGTTCAAAAAGTACCCTAGGGGACATTGGTAATGGTTTGAACATGAGACTCAACTAGGAGATCTTATGTTTGCATTTTGAGGATGGGTTTAAAGGATGAGAGAGGGCTACCTAGAGTTGGCAACAGGTCGGGTCGGGGCGGGCTTTTGCTAACCCCGAACCCGACCTGACTTTGTATTCATAATACCCGACCCCGATCAGACATAAAATTTGTTTTTTAACCAGACGCGACCCAACCTGATATTGTCTAAACCGTACCCGACCTAAAATTAATAAAATATATTTTTTAAAAATATAAAATATTTAAATATATAATTATATAAATATATATAAATAAAAAATTAAAAAATAATTTTTATATAATATCGGGTTGGGTTGGGTTGGGTTTGCCTAAAACCCGAACCCGACCCGAAACCCGATTTTCAAAAAAAAAAAAAACCTACCTTATGAGGTCAGGTAGGGTCAGAACCCGCCGGGGTCGGGTTGGGTTGCCAACCCTAAGGCTACCTTCATTCGTGTAGCCTAAGGAGTAAGGCACAATGAGTGTCCAAAAGAAACATATATGCTGTAAAAATAAAAAGAACTAATCTTTGAAGTTTATTTATTTATTTATTTTTGACTAAGCTTTCATTGGAATTTGTAAACTATGTAAGCTTTTTATCAAAACAGTGAAAGCCATTGAGGTCTGAGCAATTCAGCTTGTGAGTTTTGGCGTATTTACTTGTTTTGGATGGGAAATCTGAATATTTCTTCTAATGAACGATATCCAGGAAATAGTAGCTGAGATTTCACAGCTTGAGAAACAAAGAGATGAGCTTGAAGCAGAGCTGAAAAAGGTCTTTCTACTGCATTCCGTTTCTAATTGTTGTTTACATGTTGGAAAATTTATACGTCTTCTGTAACACGTTTTTGCATGTTTGATTCTGATTTCCTACATGTATAATGTATTGTTCCCTCTTTTTACTTTTTACATTATAATTTTTGTTTCTTTTATTCAGTATTCTTATACTTATTTGAGTTGTTAGAGGTGACTGTATGCTTTGCTGAAGAAGATTCTTTGTTTACTTATTATTTACTTTTGGGGGATGAGTGGTGAAGTTATAAGTTACTAAAGCTTGTAAATTGATTACTATGAAAGATATGAGAATGATTTAACATATGTTTTATTTCATTGTACGAGTTAAATCTGTTTTAATTATCATTTGTTGCTTTGGATTGGTACTGAATGGATATTATTTTCCAATTACGAAGTGGCGGAAAACTTTTAGGTTTTAAACCTCCTTAGAATTCAATCCATAGAAAGTTCTATTTTTGTTTAACTACCTTTTGTATAAAAAGGTGGATCCTGTACCATTACCATCTTGGTGGAATATGTGTAGGTTAATATCTCGTTGGCTGCTGCTAATGCGCGTCTACGCAATGTCACGGAAGAAAGATATCAATTTGATGAAGCTAACAATCAGATCGTTGCCCATTTGAAAACAAAGGTGTGATTTTTTTCTTTACTAGTTTCTATATTATTTTTATAAAGCTATAGTGTTTATAATTACCCTGTCTTATGGTTCAAATATCTTAGAATTCTTTCTGATATATTGACAGGAAGAAGAACTGTCAAAATCCATTTCTGCATGTAGAGTAGAAGCTGAAGTTCTCCATACATGGATTAATTTCTTGGAAGATACTTGGCTTCTTCAGTCCTCATACGCAGATACAAAGAACAAGCAAGTCAAGTATGTAATCTAATGTTCTTTTCTTCTGTTGAGTACGACAGTTAAGTTTATAGATATCCTCCTTCAGTGAATCTGTTTTTCAAATTCTTTGCATTGAAGAAAGAAAATATTATGAATTCTGCTCTTAATTCTATAAATTTAATACTTAAAATACTGAATATTTTAACATTTTGGTTGACACTTGTTTGCATTTTCCAGTGAGGAATTGGAGCAACATGAGGATTATTTTGTGAACTTGGCCATTACTCTTCTCTCTGCTTACAAGGTACTCAATACATTCTGTTGGAAGAAATACTTAGTTTGAGAACATAAGTTATCGTTAAGTCTCACCTTTATTCTCTCTCTCATGGGTTGTTCTTGGAATCTTTGTACACTTTTGCAGAAAGAGCTGGGCCCTTCCATTGACCGTATTGGTAAATTTGTGGAGAACCTGAAGAAGTTGAGTGAGAGGTAATCTGTATATATATAATTTTTTACATAAATAATTCTGACCTATTTTATTGGAATTTCTAATTCTTTTTTCCCGTAAAGACAGATCAGAGATGGCATCTAGCCCAAGTAATGAGTATATCAATGAATTAAACCCCAGGAAACATCTTGAGGAGGAATATTTGGATTATGAAGCCAAGGTACAAATGTCATTGCTTTTATTCTTCAAAAGGTGCCGACTCACAAATAGATAGTTCATCAAGTCCCAAGTTGCTGTTATCTAGCTTATATGCCCCACTGATGCAGATTTTCTTCCTACTCCTTTTTCCTTCTCACATTCTTTTTTCTTTTAGCAGATTTTTGCAACAATGAAAACATATATTGCATAGGTTCTGTTTTTTTTAACTAGTTTTAAGCATTTTTCATTTTAATCCTAGATTTTTCTAATCCAAAATTTAAGGTTAAGAGATTTGTGAATCTAGATGTTATAACTGTATGTTTATTTTTAGTTAGTCTTTAAAAAATTGGTGCAATGGTGCCTGCTCATGGAGCCATCTTTTTACTGGTTCCTTGTTTCAGATTATAACCACCTTCAGTGTGGTGGATAACATGAAAGAACAGTTTTATGCTAAGCATGGGGCAATTTCAAGGTCAGACAAATACTTTTTGCATGCAAATTCATCCGTTCCTTGTGCACTCTATTCCCTGTAACTGAAATTTTTAAGCTTATCTCCCCATCATCTATCCAGGAAGGATGATCCTAAGGTTAAAGAGCTATTTGATGATGTTGAAAAGTTAAGAACGGAATTTGAAGCTATTGAAAGGCCAACTTTAGAAATGGAGAATCCAAAGGTTGATACTCCTGAAGAAAAGCCGGAGGAAACTTTATCTCCACGCCGAACTCTGGAATCAACACAACCTAAACTTGATACAAAGGAGAATCCTGAAACACAGCCGGTGCTAGACCCTTCAGCAGAACTAGCAAGGCTGGAGTCTGAGTTTGGGAAAGTTAGCCAAGACTACTCGACGGAGGAGATAGGTGATTGGGAATTTGATGAACTTGAAAGGGAGTTGAGATCTGGTGATTTTGCATCAGGCAAATAGATCAGATAAATTAGCCTTGTTGAAACTGTAATCCGCAGTCAAAAATATCTGATATGTAGGCAAGCACCTGTACTAGTCTGTGTCATATCTATCTGCCAAAAAGCTGCATTTTAGAAACAAGCTTTTCACTGTAACTTCTGTAACATTGGATTGGGTTCCAATTTGTTGATTCTTCTGTAAATACTTTCAACCTGTAATATGGAATTTATGAAACAAATGAATCAGTATCGGTTGTAGAACCTATCAGTTTACAGGATAATTTATCAAGCCTTTAGCAACTTACAGGTCTGATATGTGAAAGGGGTTGGATTAAGCTGATATGACAGGTTCAGCCCTCTTCCCTAGCATGTCCACAAAACATTGCTTCTTTGATTCAAAGTGGAATCCATCACCAGAAAAAAAATAAGAAAAGAGAAATGATTATATGTTTTCTGTGAAGGACAAGTCACTTCGGTGATTTTTGGGTGAATGGTGAACAACATGAAAGGAACATTAGCTGTATGGAAAAAGGTTTCCTGATATAGAAATTCCAATTTGTCTTGTCTTTAGAATAACAACATTATTTTGCAAGGGGCCTCCAATGCTTTCAACACCAGGGTACAGAACCTAGTGGGATGTGAGTTTTCGAACCCCAAAATCTCCTTCCAAAAGGCAGGTCCAAAATGATTTAGCAAAAAAGTTTTTGCTAGCAACTGTGTCGTCGCTGTTGAAGAGTTTTTCTGCTTTTTCTGGTGCTGGTAGGATACCCGGCAATGGTGTCCCTCCGGTCGAGCTTGAACCCCTGAAATCCTCATTTTCTGGGTGGTGGGTCATTCGGACTAATACATCTATGGCTATCCCTTGATCATATTATTGGCTCGATATTTGACATGCCTGTCTTCATTATCAGTTATCCCATGTATTCACTATCAAATTCAAGTTCTATGGTGACGTTAACAAACCATGTTACTCTCATAGTACAGTTCTTGTAACTTTACTTTCAAACTTATCATGAAATCGTTGCGAAATGGTATCAGAAATTCAGAATCAACCAGAGCAAATCTATCAAGCAGTTGTTGTTTGGGTTACCATGGTTTGATTTCAGGTGATGAAATTGACTCAAAATTGTTATCTTTTGCTTTGGTTCCTTCTTGTAACTTTGTTCTGTGACTCTGCCCTGTTAAAAGACACCAGGTCCTAAACAAGGGAAGTTTATCTTAATTATGTCGCATACCAACATTGCAATACCCTTCTTGTTGCTTGTTTGGAACACAATTTTTTTTTTTTACACACAAAAAGAAGGAAAAAGAGGGGAAAAAGGTGGGAGCCTAGGGAATAAGAAGGAAGGAGAACACTGATCTCTTTTCAAACAATAACAAGGGATAATAGAAAGTTTGTACTTGAATAATTTACCCATGTAAGCTACGTTTGTTCTTGTACTTGCCTATAGTTGTTCAAGGAAATGACATTTGATTACAATTAATCTTAATCGAAATCGAACAAAAATATTAGAGTCCAATGACCAAATGCCTAATATCTTCCGTGATTTCCTAACAATACATTTGATGATGAACATGGCCAAGAAAAAACTTAGTTTTCTTATGTTTGTTTCTTCATAAATCATAATAGAAATACAAGTACTCTTAAACCAAACTGTTAAAATTTTTGGGATAAGGGAAGGATTTTTTTTTTTTAAAGCTGGAGACAATAAAAAGATTAAAAATATTGAGATTTTAATTTTAAATTTATTAAAAATTATTTTTTTAAAATTAAAAATAATTATATAAATTAATTAAACGAAACTCCTATTTAATTCTTTGCATATTGTTTAATAGTTAAACGCAAAGAGTTTATTAAAAGGGAAGATAAAGCATTAAAAGAAAAGAAAAGGAAGTCTCCAGTTTCATAGGGAATTTCATCCACATTTTCCTCCCTTAATTCCCACCCACCATGAAATGTCGGATCGTGTGTTCTTTTACTAGTTGAAGTCAACTCATGCACTCTTTCATTGTCTTCTTTTTTAACTACTAATATCATTTTAGAGTAATAAAGAAAACTAAAGAAAGACAGATTAACAACTCAAAAGAATGAACAAATGGTGAAGAAGAAAAGATCGAATGGAATGCACAGGTATAGAATCATATCGATCATTTTACTGAGACAAGCAGTTAAAAGTTGTGGGAGGGAGTTTTCCAATGAAAATAATGTATACAAAATGAAAAAACAGACCCTGGAATCCAGTAAAAGTAGTAAAACATGTAATGAAAAGTGATTCTAGTTTTTGTTGGCCACATAAAGAGACAGAAGCTGTTCAAAAATAATATTATGGTGATGAATGCTGGAAACCTGGTTTTGAAATGTGGGCTGCTTTCAAATTTGAACATGGCTTAGAGATTCCACAAATATCTAATTGTTTTTGAGGCGTGATACTGATTATTGAGTTAGGCGTTAACGATAAGTGATAGAATAGAAAAATGTTACCAGGATGTGGACTTCCAGTGAGATATCTTATGACCCACATTAAATATTTTTATCCACTTCCCCTGAATATTATAGCATTTCTTCTGCATCAATAACAAAATTGGTGGTGTCTTCATTTGAAATCAGATCTTGTAATTAAGTTTAATTCAGTTAATTCATATAATCACCTTTAATATATGACATCAAGTAAGTTTAATATTCAAATCTCAACACCTGTAATCTCTTTACTTATTTTTAGGTTACGACTTTTTTTATAAAAAAAAAAAAATCAGATCAATTAGTTACCGGCAGTTTAAACAATGATATCAGATCATGAACATCTTTGCAGAATCTTAATGATAGTTTTACCTTCTGTGGTAAGGATGATGAAAACTAGCTTTTGGTCCAAACAAATAATCAAGTCTTAATGATGTAAGCTACAGTGCTTTACAAGTAGCCTGAGCCACCATGATGAAAAGCTGATATACAAACAATTCAGCTTTGGAATCATTGATGATAACCTTTTGTGTTCTAAATATAAAGTATTAAAGGAAGGAATTCCATCACTTTATTAGGGCTTTTTCTTAATGAAAAGCAATGAGGAATTAGCCACCAAAATATTAAGTTCAAAAAAGAATAAGACAGACATCAGCAAGGAATTGGCCCCATCAGAAGAAGTTCCATAATGTTTTGAATTTTATATTTGGAAGCATATGAAGATTTCCAAACATTTCAAACAAATACTCCACGGTTATTTTTTCTTAAAGGAGGCCGTAATTAAAATAAGAGAAGAAATTGTAAATGTTGATATTTCAACCCAGATCTATTGACTGCCATCTCTTATATTATGAATCAATTGAGTTAAACTCTTCGTTCATACCCACTATTATTTTACCGTAACTTGGCAGCATCAACAATTTAAAGAGTGCACTCCACTCCCTCAAAGCTCAGCTCCCCCATTAAACTAAGATTACACTGAGAAAAAGAGAGGTCTACCCTTAACATTACATTGAATACCTGAAAATGGCAGTGAGCCTCCTGTCAAATGATCTTGAGGATGAGGAATACATTGACATGGAAGTCAGTTCATATTCCAACTCCTTCTGCAACTCCAGAAGCTCTCCTCCACACCCCAGAGAGTTTGAGTTTCAAATGTCATCAGTCTCCATGGAAAGAGAGCCTACAACTTCCCCAGCCGATGAGCTCTTTTACAAAGGGAAGCTTCTTCCACTTCACCTCCCACCACGTCTACAAATGGTCGAAAAGCTTCTGCAAAATTCAAATTCTGTTTATGAAGACAGGAAAGATAACTTTGAAGAATTCTGTAGTGCCCCATTAACCACTACTGTCACAACACCAACTACAACCAGTACTCCATTCGAATCCTGCAATATCTCACCTTCTGAGTCCTGTCGCGTTAGTAGAGAGCTGAATCCTGAAGAGTATTTCCTTGAGTACTCAACTGAAGTAAGCGGCTGCATTGGTGAAAACCAGAAGAAGTCTTGGACCAAAAAGCTTAAGCTGATCAAGCAGTCCTCCATTGGTTCAAAACTGAAGGCTTCCAGGGCTTATCTCAAATCTTTGTTTGGTAAATCAGGTTGCTCAGATGAGTCCTGTGCAGCAGCAAAAGTTGCTGATGAAGGATCAGTTTCAAAAGCAAAAGGAAGATTGGATAGATACATGAAATCAACAAAGAAAAATCCATTCGGACAAATCCATCAGAACAATTGTCAAATCTCAACTGCTGTCTTGAGAAGTTTTGACAAAGAAAAGATTTCGGATCAGAACAATGCCAATCGCCATAGGAGATCGTTTTCTCTGGCTATCAAACGAAATTCAACAAACAAGTCTTCATCCTCTTCGTCATCATCTGGCTCTTCTTCATCTTCTAGCTCAAATGCCTCCAACGGCTATCAGAATTTGCAGTTCCTTAAAAGAAGCAGCAGTGTGAATGCAGAGATTGAAAGTCCAATTCAGGGAGCAATTGCACATTGCAAGCAGTCTCAGCAGTTGATCAGATCAAGAAAGACTGTTAGTGAAGTTGGGTTCTACTCATTATCAGATTCTAGTATTGCAGTTTGCGAAGATCAAGAGAGGCCAGACCTTTGCAGGGGCTGAAAAGAGAGAACCATGACATGATATAGAATTTAGTTTTGTTTCTGATGCTCATCTATTTCCTTGTTCTTTTCCTATCTCATAATTTTGATAGGACTATGCTTTGAATCAAAACAAATTTAAAAAATCTGAACAATTGTCTTGAACTGTTAGACCATAACCTTCTATGGGAGTTTCTTAAAATGATCCAATGAATTCCTTAAAAATGAACAAAAGTATACATTTCTCTTATTGCAAGTTGCCATTTTGTTTATGATGAAACGAACCTATACGCAGTCAGTTCAAGACTTACAATTAGGATTCAGCAAGGACAACCATCCTTTTAGCCAACATTTGTTTCAACTTGCAGATTTGACATCATAAAGTTTCCGTTAGAGCAAAAATTCAGCTTCCATAATGCAACTTGTTGAAACACCATTGAATAGGAATTTGGCACATCATATGAATCAAGATAACATCATTTTGGTTTTCAATTTTGCTTCAGAAATAATGCAATCCTATCAGATACTTTTTCCATCAGTCAAAAATTTTATTTCACCATACAACTTGAGTTAATATTCATATACACAATAAAAAGTTATGCAGATTTGGATTCAAACTGTTCATAATGATAAATGTTATCTTTTCAAGCATTCACTTAGTTGAAAGGTTTTATCCATCATGATCTTCCACAAACAGACAAATTCAATAATGGTTATTTAGAAAATAGTCTCTTTTTTAATAAAAAAAATAATATATAACAAAACATGGGTCCTGTATTTCAGGGTCTCCAATGTAACTGATTGTCCAATGTTAGTTCCCTGGTTTCACTTTTTTTTCTTTTTTTCTTTTTTTAAATATACAAGTTTAGGGTGGGGAGAGGCTTCCCGTCCCAAGATTAGGGTAAATTGCAAATCTCAAAAAAAATTTACACTAAAATTTTCAAATTATGTGACAAAGAAATTTTTAATCTAAATTTTACAAATAAAATATTTAAATTTTATTGATTCAATTCAACCAATGCCATTGGCCGCTTTCATTTTCAAATTATGACAAGTAAAGCAAACAGAAAAATATCTTCTCATCACAATTACATTCAAAATGCCATAATTTTCCATTTGCTTACTTGTAAAGTGAAGATAAATCCCAGTTCCCATCAATTCTACAAGCAGACAATGGTTTTCATGAAGTATCTAAATATTGCAAAGTAATCATAAATTAGGCAAAGTTTAAGTATTATTTCTGTACCAACCAATCATCAGATAACAGAACTAATCATTACTGTGATTACAAAATCTTACCTGTCTGCCTCTTTAGTACAATTAAGAGACACCTGCCTGAATTAAATACGTTGAAATTGCCTTGATCTAAATGAAAAATGTTTTTCTTCCAGAGGCCTGAAATCTAATATAAAATATGAAAAAAGTTGAGAACAACACATTGATAAAACTTGTACTGCAACTAAGTTTAAAAATAACATGATTTAAAATTTTAATAAAAATTATGTATAAATTTTAATAAAAAAAAATTACGTTTATATTTATTATATTCACATGAATTTAATACAATAATTTTTATATTTTATATATATATATATATTTTTTTTTTTGACATAATACAAATATAATATTATACATATATAAACTGTGTTTAAATTTTATATTATATTTTATATATATATATATATATACAAATTACAAAAAGAAGGACAATCAACAATAAAATATGAGGCAGTGAAACCTTCAAGTGCAGACAAACTACATTTCAGGCCGGCTGCTTTTCTCTTCTTTGCTTTTCTTAGTGGGTCTACCAAAAACCTTAAACTAAGAGAACATGTCAGCTACGGTTTTGACAGGATTAAAGCCAAAGAAAAATGCAAATAAAAAGGCTCATTTGATGTTGCTAAGCACTAAGGGGTCTTTGATAAGCATTTTATAAGAAACTTTCTTCTGTCCAATTTCCTTAAAGTCTAGGAGAAAGAAAGGAAAAGCATTAATCTAATTTTAACTCAATTCACTCGTATAATTATTTTTAAAAAATGATATTTAATAAATTTAAAATTTTAATTTTAACACTTACAATTCCTTCTTTTAGGTTCAAATTATAACTTTCTTTGTAAAAAAAAGCAAATACAGTTTTCTGCGATGCTTAATTACTTACATTGGTTTGTGAAAGATATTATTATAAACAACCAAGATGAATACTATTGTTCTTTGTCTTGTATACGTAGTTAATGATATAAAGTTGTTTTTGTTTTGTATATGAGAATTTGAGGCTGTCAAGTATCACATTGTGAAACTAAAACTTCAACGTTCTATCTACATAACACATGCCCGTAAAAATCATTAAGAATTCCATTTCATAATTAAGAATTTTCATTGGTTTAGTAAGAATTCCACTGATATAAAGTCATTACAGCTTGAGCCTGTAAAAAAAAAAGAACCTGCGAGCTAGGCCCTGGGTTATCTAAGTATCTCACTTTGAAGATAGCAGCAGATGATATACAAGGTTGTTTTTCCAATGATATTTGTTTACAATAGATCAGCTTTAGAGATTTTGGACTGTTCAGAAAAAAAGAAAGATGAGCTTTCGAAGAAAAGACTGTCCTTGGTTTGAAAAGCTAAATCAGGTGCAAAATATTTGCTGCACTTGAGAAATTGGAACTGATAGGCAGTCAGATTCAAATGCAAATATCATCTAATCATACAAACATAAATCCTCGTATATTTCTTTTATATACGAGATTGTTAAAATTTATTTTGATAATTAAAATTAAAAGTTTTACATTTTATTAATATATCACGTCACATTAAATTGTGAATGCTCATATATTTTTTTACTATTGAAGTGAAATGTAAAAAGTATTAAGTAACCATCTTTAATTTTTTGGTCTCGTGATTAAGACAATTTAAGAAGACATCAAAATTGAAATTTGACCTTAGTTTCCCCCCTCTCTTTTATTGTAAGGTTTTGCCCTTGAAAGACTCAAAAAAAAAAAAAAAGTGTTAGGTAACCATTAAGATTCTGAAAAATTAATGATCAAAAAAGGAGTGTTGTCAATTCTTTATGTCCATTCTCATGCATTTTTCACATATAAAAAGTCATAAACTAAGGTTTATATAACTATAATTTATATAATTAATGAAAGAAATGTTTTGGTCCATACTTCAAAATCATATAATAAATGCAAAATTGAAATAGGTAATCAACACCATAGAAGAAATATGACAAACCAGATGATAAAGTGGTGTCCATTCCAGTCCATGAAATCCGGTCATGCTTCACACTCTTTCAATTAACAATTGTTTAATACAAACTCTTACACTTATCATTTGATTTAATGATTGATGTATAATTTTTTTATCTAAATAATTCTTTTTCTCTAAATCAAAAATATATATATAATACTTTCGAAAATAAACTCATTCATGTTCAATGATCAATCTTTTTTACATCATTTAATATTCCTTTTTTTTGCATATATATATATATATATGATTTTTTTTATAGCTTTACATTCACGTACAAAGTACCTAACATGGTTTCAAATTATTCGTATGCATGTATATCTTTGATTGTTTTGGAAGAGTTATATATTCGACGAAAAGCGTTTCATAAAAAATAAAATATCCAAAAAAAAGGTATAAATATGATGAATTAATAGTAATGATAAAGCTGCATTTTTTTCTCTTCTTTTTAATTGTACACGTTATGACTTAATTTTTTTAAGTTAAATTAAGAGATGTTGAATATGAAAATCTACAAATGATATAATTATTTTGCCATGAATTCCTTTATTGCTTGTGTCTAAGAGGTTGGATTGGGTTGGGCTTCACCCAGTTTATGATTGTTCACAAAAGTCTTGGATATGAAACCAAACACAGTCCAACTTTCAACCAAAGGATTCTCTTCTAAGGTTTTTGTCTCTTTAATTTTTAACTTAAGATGGATTATTTTAGACTTAAATAATAAAAAATACTCTTAAATTTTACTGCTTTATATAAATATTTTTTATTTTTATTATACTCAAATAAACTCTTATTTTTTAATTTGCCCTCAAATAATTCTTTTCATATTTGTATCCAAGTAAATACTTAACCTAAATAAATTCTTAACATAAATTAATCTTTTATTTAAAATAAGGATTTATTTAAATATAAATGAATAAAATTTTATTTGGATACAATAAAATATAAAAATTTATTTTAAAACAGTGAAATTATTTAAGGATTTTTTTCAATATTTTAGCCATTATTTTATAAATAAGGCTGTTGTTCCTAACAATTCATTATTTTGTAATTGTCAGTTTATTTTATGTGACAGAAGACTTTGAACCAAATTCAAGCAGCCTCCCTTAAATAATTCTAATTTATGAAACCATCTCAATCTTCCTCTCATGAGATATATTTTATATTTTACGTCAATGTGATGAATGTACAATTTTTTTCATCCTTAAAAGTTAAAAAAAAAAAAAATTCAAATTCAAATTTTCATATTAAAAAAAATATTAATTATCAAATGCATCAATAATAAAAATTTTAAATTCTATTGTCAATGTTAGAACAATAAGACGTATCATTAAGTATAATAAAAAAAATTTTAAAAATAAAACATGTAATAATATTTTAAGTTTATTAATGAAATTAAAAAATTTTATAAAAACCAACTCTATAAACAAATGGGAGTTAGATATATGCATAAATATTATGGACAAATGCTTATCTTATTGTATAAGCCATTGGTGTCTTGCAGTTATTAATTATTGAAACTTCTCTACCCAAAAGAACATATTCTCTTTTCCAATCATTTTCAATGCCATTTCTCTTTAAAGTTCTTTGGTGGAGCCCTTTTCACATGTGAAATAATGGCTAAGCCTCTCAATGAACACAACTTGGCCTTCATTGTATTTGCCACCCAATGAATGAACCCATTTTTGGAGCTTAGCCACAAAAAAAAAAAAATCATCTGCAACTCAAAACAGAAAAAAAATAGTCCATTTCTTGGACATAGTCCAACCAACCTACAAAGATTTTCCCATTTTTGTTGTTGTTGTAGTTCATTACTTTTCAACTTTATGAAAAAGAAATTTTGGCGTGCTTGATGACTGTCACAACAGTCAAGACTTCAGGCAAAATCTGGAACAATTACCATTAGTCTTGTGATAGGACTTGTTCGTGGAAAATAATTGCACAGAAAAGATCCAGAATCTAGCATTCTTGTCCAAGTCAAGACTTTACTAGGAAGCAAGAAACAAGTTGAAAGTTGGTAGTTCTAGAAGTTCTGAAAGTCTTTGTTCAATTTCAGGAAACTGTAACTGAAGTACAACAAGAATGCTTTGTAGCAACACAGTTTACTCAGAGAAAAATTTAATCATTCATACATTTCAAGGCTAGGCTTTTAATCGATGCCGTCAGTGGTTCGAATCCATCAAAACAGGCTGATTTAGGGCAATGATGGCTGATCAATATCCCAAATGAGATATGAAGCAGTTTTATGAGTGTCAGCTCCAGGATATCATGAGTCATATTTCAAGCTGATATTATTCATGACTTCCATTTCTTGCATAGAAAGAAAAAGCATGGAGAAAGCACAGCCATTTGGTAACACGACCATCAACTTATGAATCAAAACTCATGCCTTTTGCCACCCAAGAAAGTACTACAACAAACTCACAGGACATACAACAAATTGCCACATTCCTCACTCTTATTTCTTCCTTAACTAAAAAGCCTTCCTCGAATTAGTAGTTCAAATTGCACGTACCTTGCAAGCCATGGTCATGAAAGTAGGGTATGCATATATACTAGCTACCAAGCAGAGGCGAAAAATTACTATTCTTATTTAATCCAATCTTCGGCATATTAGGACTTTTTTATTTTTGTAATTTATAACATTCATCTTCCCTTCCCCTTTTCCAGAAGCTATAGCTTTGCATATCAGAGAGCATAAATCCTATCAACTTCAACCTCTGAATTAGTTAAGTCAGAATGATGCCAAGAGTTGGATCCACTTCTCCGTGAATTCTTTCCCCTTTTCCTTCTTGTCCTCTTGGATTTCACCACATAATAAGTCATGGTGCCAAGAACCCCAGCCATTATCAGACCCCCTACAACTGTAACCAAAATTGCAGCCCATTTATGTTTCCTGCCAACCACTATGTAAGAGGAGGCCATAAAAGCAACTGAAGTACAGACAGAAGCCAACCACATCAACTTGTTAATGACTTCCACTACCTGTTTCTCTGCTTTGGTTTCACCTCTAACCAATGTAATTTGAACAACGACAACAGCCAAAGAGGTGAAGAGAGCAATAGCATTGAAGATGAAGAAGATTTTGAAAGAAGAAGAGCTTACAACCACAGCAACTCCACTATCTAGATCTCCTCCAGGCACAGTAAATATAGCTGCAAAAGCAACAGTTGCGAATAGAACAGCCACCACAGTCACTGAATTGGTGGCATTGTTGATTCCTTCTCGGTGGAGTTTTCTAAGTTCCTTTGAAATATTGTGAACATTTTTGTTGGTTCTTTTGGTTTGTTCAAGCTGTGTATGGACATCTTTCTTAATTTGGGTCACTGTCTGCCTCAACTCATCTCTTGGTTGATTCAGTTCGTTAGCTCTCAGAGCACCATAGCGAGAAAGGCAGCTCTTTATATCTGAGGATTCTTCAGAGAGAGGAAGCCCCTCAGCTATGTCAAGGGCTGTTTTATGGTCTCTGGTGAGTGCATTGACATTCGTGTCAGGAAGGGACAACAACTCATTTACTATCTGCAAGGAAATGGGAAGATTCAATAAAATGAAACTGTTTAGGATAAAATGTAAGGAATGACACTAAATATAGGAGATTGATGGTAATGTGAAAATAAAAATAAAGAAAGGCGCATAAGGAGGAGCCATACAGATAGATATGTAATACAGAAAGCTTAGCTTACAAAACCATACAGCCTAGTATCATCAGTCTACCACCAAGAGTGATCTAAATTAGTATAAAAAGAAAACCTTCTATACATCATTTCTAAATAAATCAACGTTTAGAATTGAAATTTTCAGTTGAATTCATAAATACATGACAACCTCATCTCTCTCTAAATTCAAGCTTGTCTTTCTAACATGCCATACGTGTTAGTAACACTATTTCAAGGATGCTACTACTGCAGAAAAGTGTGGAAGGGTCTTAATGAACATACACTTGCATCACTATATAATATTCCACCGACCATTTCATTTATGGTAAAACAATGACATTTTCATAAGATGTATAAGAACTAAAAAAGTATGTAGCACCACTAAGACATACCCTCCAACCTCTATGGCAAGAAAGAAAAAAGGAGTGAGAAAATAGTTGTACCTCTGCTCTCTTTTTCCTAGTGGCTACATGTAATGCAGTGTTACCAAACTTGTCTGGAAGCATCACAATAGCAGCATCGGCCTCAAGAAGCAACTTCACCACCTCACAGCTCTGTCCTTTTACCGCCATATGCAATGCTGTCTGCCCTTTCTTGTCAGTTCTTCTAGCCAATTGTGGATCTTTGCTGAGCAAAGCTTTTACAACATCTACATGCCCCGGTCGAGCAGCTAGATGTAAAGCATTTTTCCCATTTGATCTGGTGCACTCTAGCAAGTTACCATCCCTTGAAAGCAGCTCATTGACTACTTGTGTATGCCCTTTGGTAGCAGCAGAGATGAGAGGGGTTGCATTTGATGGCCCAAATGTTTGGCATAGACCAGGGTCATGATCTAGCAGCACTTGGACAATAGCTGCAAGGAAAGAACCAAGGTGACTGTTCCAGCCTAGTATCTATAAAACACAACAGAAATAGGACCATAAAGTCCACAACTGACCTCTATAAAAGCAAACTAATAACTAGGGAATTTATTTATTCACTATCTATAATCCATATTATACAAAACAAAAAAAATGATGATAGTTTGTCCTAATGATGATAGTTTGTCCTGAAGATTGAAGGAGGAAGATGCCTTGTCAATCTGCTTACTCAACTAACCGTAACCATATAGCAGAGGCTATGATTTTCATTAGTATGAAAATATTGAATTTTGCTGTCATGAACATTCCAAAGAAACAAATTAAAAACCTAGTTAGGTTCACATCTCCATCATAATCAACCTCCAAGTTAAAGTATATAAATAAATGCCAAAATAAGATGCATAGTGTAAGGTAGTAGTTAAGTAGTAAGGCACAAATTTTATACCCCTAAATATTTTGCCAGCATGTTCATAATCAGTAATATGGCTCTTATATTGGAATTATGTCATAACCAAAAGCACAGGATCGTTACCATGGTGCCCTTGACTTGCAGCAATATGCAAGGGATCAAACCCAGATTTATTCTTCTTAGTAACAGTTTCTTTATTTGAGTATTTTAACAACTCCTTGACAACATCAAGATGCCCTTTCTCTGCAGCTGTAAACAAGGCTGTCTCCCCCAACTCATTCACTTCATTTACCACACTTGCTTGTATCTCTGAGACCTCCGTATCAAAATCTTCCCCACTTGCAGTCCTCATAATCTGCGAATCAATGTCAGCAAGAATCTGCTTTACAGCCGCCAGATCACCACGCTGCGCTGCCAAGTGCAGCTCAGTGTCATTATGGCGTCCTGTTACCTGCTTCACATATTTCTTTTTGCCAGCCTGATCAATGCGCTTGCCAGAATTTGATAGGACCAGAGCTGGGGCTGTTGCTGTAGATGATGGAGAAGGTGTTGCTGACGGTTCTGCAGTACCAGTACTGTAACTGGTGAGGCTACTGGACATCCTGTCAATTCGCTTGCCAGAATTTGATAGGACCAGAGCTGGGGCCATTGCTGTAGACGAGGGTGATGGTGTTGCTGAGTGTTCTGTGATACCAGAACTGGAACTGGAACTGGTGAGGCTACTGGACATCCTGTCAATCCGCTTGCCAGAATTAGAAAGGATCAGAGCTGGGGCCATTGCTGTAGAGGAGGGAGATGGTGTTGCTGAGTATTCTGTGATACCGGAACTGCAACTGGTGAGGCTACTGCCCATCCTATCAATACGCTTGCCATAACTCGATAGGATCAGGGCTGGGGCTGTTGCTGTTGATGATGGTGATGGTGTTACTGAAACCTCCATGAGGGAATTCGGACCCAACTGAAGTGTATCTATTCCTTTCTCCAAATCCATCTCTCCACCTAAACAATCAACCATTAATCAAAATAATTATTAAACAAATCACAATTTTCTTTCATCTTCAACAATCCATTACAGAAATGATACAACCCCCAACAACCCAAAAATTAAGAAAAAAGTTTCTTTTTCAGCTACTAGCGATCTATTAATCACAAAAAGATGCCACCTTCCATTGATTCACCTTAATTCTTAAATTCAAACTAAATCTACCAAAAACACAAAAAACACCCTACTTCCCATCTCTTTTCTTTCTATTTAATTAAGCTCCAATGGATCAAGATATAAACTTGATAGGTGGCACTAGATTCTCAAAGTTCCATACTATTCAATATTCCTTAAGACAGTAAAATTAAGCTAATATTCAATTAAGAACAATAGAAAGAAAAAAAGCCATCTTTTTTAGCAGAATTAAGCTGATTTCCTATTTGTAGAAAGAACCCATTTAAGTATTTTGAAGACAGACTCAGTAGCCAGAATCAAAAAGTGATCATTTAAGCAAAAGGAATAACCTTTATAACACTAAAATGTAAAAAAATAAATAAATAAATAAAGAGATATGATGATGAAAATTTAGAGATTGGTCAAAGGAGAGTCAACTTTGGCAAAACAAAAAAGAGTCAACAGTGTTACCTTCATGGATCGAAGATGAGGCCATGCTTGACGAAGGGAGAGAAGCAAAGCAGAAAAGAAGTGACTGGGAAATTATTGTTTACAATAGAAGTAAAGATAAAACGTACAAGAGAAGAGACTAGAGAGAAGAAAGTTCAAAGAACGGAGTAAAACAGAAACAGAGGTTGGCTTGAGGAAGGTGCTTGGAAAATTCTTTGCCTCTTTTCATTTTTTAATAATACTTAATTACAAAAAAAAAAAAAAAAACCTTTGGATTTTAGTGGTCCTGATTGCTTTCCATGTCAGAACTCAGCAGCTCCCACCAACTAAAAAAATTTTGGAGGGTTTAATTTTAAAGAAATTATTTATATATTATTAGTGAAATTTTTTAATCTGAAATTAGTAGGCTGATAAACGTTTTAATTTTTTTAATTAATTTTTTTATTTTAAAATATATACATTAAAAATATATAACATTCTATTAAACTCATTTATAAAATTTTAAAAAATCATTATTAATATATTTAATAATTTTTTTAATTCTAAAATAATATTTTAAAAATTTTTATCTTAAGACATTGGGTTTAAAATAATTTGAGACTTTTTCTTCAAATCTTATTCGTGGGAATGTGATTTCGATTTTTGATTCACAATTACTAGATTCATAAAGTAATCTTTGATTTTTAATAATATTTAAAAATTTTAGAATAAAAAATTTATTTTTTATAATTTTTTAAGATTTAAAAAAAATATATTTTTATCATACATTTAACCGGAATAAATTTTTTTATTTTATTTTACCTTTTAAAAAATTAACATACGAAAAAAAATTTTTATTACATTTTTTATCTACAAATGATTAATTTAAACTAAATATTATGTTTTAAAATAAAAAATATAATATTTGATGATATTTTATTAATAAAAAATATAATATTTATGAATACAAAAATTAATAAAATAAAAACTCATCTTGTAAAATAAAAACTCATCTTGTATTATAAAGATGACGTTTCATTTATCATAATGTAAACGTCGTAAATGTGGAAAGCCAAAAGCAGTAGTTCCCTTTCCCAGGATAAAAGTAATGTAAATTAAGGTTGAGAAAAAAAATATCTAAAATATCGATTAAAATCGATATGTTCGAATCGATTTAATTCAAGTTCTAAATAATTTAATTTGAATTTAAATAAATGACATCATTAAATCAAAAAATTAAATCAAATCAAATTTTTTTATTTAAATTTTAAAAAATTTAAATAAAATCTAAAAAATAAAAAATTGAGAGTGAATAATAGTAATTAAAAGTCCAATTCAATTTAAAATAGGATAATAATCCAAAAAAACATTTAATTTTTTTATCCATTTATTTTTTTAACTTTTTTACCTATTTATCTTTTCTTATTTCTCAATTTCTAATCTACTGACACTAAACCTAATTGATTTCAATCTTTGACTTCCACGTCGCTCCCAACGATCTCCTCCCAGGCTGCAGGCGCTCTGTTCCCAAGTTCCCAGACGGCCACACAGCAAACCACCACCTTCAATCTCTTTCAATCTCAATATCTCACACTTTCTCAATCTCACACAGGCGGTACAACAAAAAAGCACCCAGTGAGCAAAAGGATGATGCAGGTCACAGAGGCTTTCTAGTTTCCTTTAGATTCACTAGTACGTGGTTTCTCATAAGAGAAAATTCCTAATACTTTTTTTAAGGCAAAATGCCGTGCAAGCAATTGAAAGTCTGAAATGGGACATAACATTGCTAATTCCAAACTTTGCCAATGATTCGAAAGTGTGCAATTCTTCATTTGTTTGATAGTGGAAATTGAAAGAGTACATAGATAATTTTGCCCATTCTTTGTAAATGTAGATGTAGATTGCTTTCATTTATTTAATTCTTTGTAAATGTAGATGTACAATTATTTAAGAAGTCACCATATGTCAATTTCATAAATAAGTTATTCTTTTATTTTTAGAGAAAATTTTCTATTTGTTTGACTATATATTTTCACAAATTGGTTTATCTTTTACTTGTAAATTAAAACTCCACAATTTTATAATGCTTTTCCTAAGGAATGTTCAAATAAAAAACCATTCAATTATAGCAATTATCGGTTTCTTCACCCCATTATCACAATTTATTTGTTCATGAAGAGGAAGTGAAAAGTTTAACTAATTAAATCCAAAGATGATGAAACATCTTCCTCTTCCTTGTTCAACCATTCAATCTATTATCAATTTAGTGATTAATTTTCTAAGTGAATATTCATATCATAAAGCATTTAATTTTAGCAATTTTTTGTTTCTTCACCTAATTATTACAATTAATCCATTCATGAAGAAAAAATGAAAAGTTTAATTCATTAAACCTAAAAATGCCTTTATAAGGAAACCTTTAAAAAAAATTGCTCATTTTTAATCCTTCAATTTTCATTTAAATTTTGTTTCTCTAAAAAAACACTCTATTTTAGTTTTTTTTTTTATCATTTTTTTTTAAACTTTTATGATTTGTTGATGAATATACTCATTAATTTATGAGTTATTTTTGCAAAACTCATTAGTTAAAATACCTAACTTACAAATTCGAAAGACATTAAAAGATTTATTGATTTGTGCTATAAAATTCTCAACCCATTACAATTCCTTTTTTAGGTATAAAACTTGAAATAACATTATTTGTTTTAAATTCATAATTATTTAGAAAAAAAAAAAAGCTAAATTCACTAACAATCAAATATTAATGTAGGTATAATGGACAATCCGATATATGATAAGAAGGTTTGTAATATGATAACTCATTTTGTACTTGCATTCTTGATCAATTTTGTAGAATCTCTGTAATCACAATGCATTTAGTCACAATCTACCTTAGAAAATAGATAAAATATTATGACTCTATGGTAATCTTTTTAATAGAAGTCAAAGTTTTAGATTAAAACTTTGAAAAAAAATTATTTTTTTTATTTTTCTTGATAAATCTTCACATTTGTTTTTAAAAACTTAATATTTCAAAGGTTAATAAAATAGGTATGTCATTATGACAAATATATTTTAATGTCTTTAATTATTATTGTTATTCAGTTGCCATGCGCGAGAAATTACTTAGTTTTTATATATATATATATATATATATATATATATATATATATTCAATCAAACATATGAATTAACCACCATTTAAATTTTAGTTACAAATAATTTAATTATATAGGAGAGAATTGGACACTCATTAAACATAAAACAAAACAAAAAAATCCCATGAAATAGCATTTTTCCTTGTCAGTAACTTTTTTTAGTTGTTTCACTAGTGGGAATATTTCTTGCTTTCTTAAAAAAATAGATGAAATTACAATAATAAGATAAAATTTCAAAGGTTATTTTAAGATAAAAAAACAAGTGATTAATTTAATATCTAGTTGTATGGATAGTGAGATTGATTCTAATGAGATTAAAAATAACGATATTGATTAAATTAATTATTATAATAATAAAATTAAAATTAATGTAAAAATATGTATTTAAATGCAAACACAACAATTATGATAAAGTGAATTATAATGAGAAAAGAAATGACATTATTGATTAAAATTTACTTCAATTGTTGTTATATCAAATAAAATTTAAAAATTTAATTCAATAAAAATTTTTGTGTACATAATTTTATATTAAAATAATTAAAATTTTAAATACTTCAAAATTTTAATATTTAAAATATAATACTTACTACAATTACAAATGATATTTAAATAAATTAATATTAAACATAAACATAAAACATATAACTTCTGTTATCGTTGGATATTGAAAAAATTATAATTATCTATATTCATAAATATTATCTTAAAAATTTTTATAAGTTTCAATCAAAAATAAATCTAATTAAAATTGTATTCATGTAACATTAGAATTTAAGTTTAATTCAACAAGTTTTCATGTTAGAAACTTTTGAAATCTTAAAGGCCATTTGAAAAAATATCATCAAAATTAAATTAAAAAAAAAATCACGTAATGCTTTAAGACATAAAAAAAGAATAACTAGGGCATTATAATCCAAAATTTTCAATTGGCGGTTTTGATTCCTATTGCAACTTGGCAGGTCCAGTGCGTAGTTGGAGGAATGGTGAGATTAATCTCACCGTAAGATATCATCCAAACGACATCCCATGTGATTCAGGCCCCATTTGTTTGAAAAACATGACAGTGGTGCAGTCGAGTATTGTCCCTGCACTGGAATGGTTTTAACTTTGATTTTTTTTTCTTTTTTACTCTTTATATTTGTATTATATTAAAAAGACAATAATATTTTTATAATTTAATTTTTTATTTAAAAATTATAAAATATTTTTATTAATTTAATATAATAATTATTTTATTAATTTTTAAAACTTTTTTTGTTTTTAATTTTTATTAGCAAAACTATTAATTTGTTTAACAATAATTTCACAATTTTAATTATTTATTAATTTTATAAATATTAAATAATTTATTTTTTGTTAATATAATTTTTAATCTATTATCTTTAATGATCATTTTTTTTTTCATTACAATTAATTTCATTGTCATCATTGTTTTTATATTTAAATATATATTTTATTATTAATTTTAATTACATTATTATAATAATTAATCTCACATTCATTATTATTTTTAATATTACCACCCATCTAAATAAATTTTAAAGCAAAAAAAAATTTTCAATTGCACCGCACCGATGCTGTAATGAGAATTAAATTCGGCCTTATAAACAAAGGGATACTTTAATGATTATGATTTATTTTATTTTCATAATAAAATATATTAATTTTAAATCAATGTGATTTTTTTAAAATTAATTTTGAATGCATAATTTATATCTCGAGACTAAAATATTATTCAATCTCAAATATTATATTAAAAGAAAAAGAGTTGATGCATGTGGTCGTTGGAATGTTGATTTCTTCGTTTTAATAATTAAAGATTAAATCTCGACAATCTCAAATATTAAAAAAATAATAAAATATTAATATCTTAAATCTAAGGATGAATAGCAAACCCTAAACTCGAGTAATAAACAAAATTTGTTAAATCCAAATTCAAACCAAGGTATTAGAATATTTTTGTTATTAAATAATTTTTTTTATTTTAAATTAAAATATTAATATGAATTTTCTTGATATTTTAATAATAAATTTAAATTAAACATATTTAAATGGATAAGTGTTCAACAACTTTTTTTTTTATATCATTCCAAACTTCAACAAATTAGG